CCTGGGTCCTATGTATTAGTCAGGTCTATGGAACACACACCCGCCCTGGGCCCTATGTATTAGTCAGGTCGACGCAACATTCCGTGTGGATATTCAGTTCAGATTTCAATCTTGAATTGCATCCCTGAAAGTTCTGGATGGCTTTTTTCATTTACATATTATTAGTCAATGAAAAAGAAGACGTTTACACCTTGTCATAATGGATTAAATGAATCAGATCCATGTTAAAGTCGCGTATTAAAAGATCGAGGGGCAATATGTAAACAGTCTATCCTTCTGTGTTCAATAATCCAGAAGTGAAAAAAAAATTAGATTACACGATCAGTACGTAATGGTCCCTGTCGACAAAGCAGGTAACAACATGGTCTTCGTTTGTAAGTTTCATTATTATAGAAGAGCTTGGATTTAATTCTACAAGTGGTACTCTTCTTCTACCCAGACTTCCTTTTCTAAGGAAGAAATTCTTCAAAATCATGTCAGTTTTAAATATTTTTGATATTCCACAGAGCCAAAATGAATTTGAACGACCTTGTATATATTGGATTCCGAAACTTAGTTCATAAAAATCCTTACAAACAGATATATTGCGGATTCCAGTAAATGTTCAACCAAGCCTCTTTCGTTACTCCTCACTAAGATATTGACAATGGTGAAGGAAAAACTTCGAGTACTGTGCAATAATATATTCAAAAAGTGGTGTGAATCAGATGTGGATACTGTATAATTCCAAAGAACTTTTAAACAATTTGAAATCACAAGAACTTACCAAAATCAACAGCTTAAAAACTTACGACTTAACAGATTTATACACAATCAATCCCAACGATAAATTAAAGTCCAGGCTTTTTGATATCATTGACAGCTGCTTTTTAAATAAAAATAAACTCATAAATATACTTAACTGGTCATTGGCAAAATTATTTTATTAGCTCACCTCAACGGAGTTGGGGAGCTTATGTAATACCCTAGGCGTCGGCGTCTCATAAGGTCAAGTTTTATTTGAAGCAGTTTTCTTTTTAAGTACCTCTATGTCCTATATTGATTAGACATGCATGGAAGATGTTTCTAGTGTGTTTCATTGTACCAGTCACAGTTTCAGATACTGCAATTTCAGCAAAGGAATGACTAGATTAATGTTCTTGGAGCAGATTAACATTTTTGTTGCAGTTTTTGGTGTAGGTCTCATTTCCGAATACAAATCCTTTGTTGACCAAACTTGCATGAATGAAACATCTTAGGATGCATACTACCAGACTTGTTTCGGATGCTGAATCTAACCTACATTTTCTGGAAGAGTGAACAGGTTAAAGTTTTTGGTGCAGGATTAATTTCCAAGTCACTTTGAGCCCTACAATAACCAAATTTGCATCTTAGGGTGCATTCTACTAGACTGGCTTCGGATGCTGAATCTGACCTATATTTTCCGGATAAGTGAAAAGGTTATTTTTTTTTAATACAGGTTCATTTCCAAGTAACTTGGAGCTCTATGTTGAGCAAACTTGCATGGATGATATATCTTAGGATGCACACTAATGGACTTGCTTCAGATGCTGAATTTGACATGCATTTTCCAAATAATGGACCTCGTAAATGTTATGGATGCAGGTATATTACCAAGAAACTATAAGGCTTATTTAAACCACACTTCCACAAATGATGCATCAAGGGATGAAAACTCTCAAACTTGCTTCAGATTCTGGATTTTAATGACGTTTTCATGATGAAGAACTAGTTTGAAGTTTTTATATAGGTCTATTCCAAAGCATTAAATCAAAATTGCATGGATTTGCATTTTTTATGCACACTTTTTGTGGGCAATTGTGTGACTTTTTTTAAAAACAATATTTTATTTACTGATGTTATTGTGAATTGTCAGACTTTGCCTTACTTCAAGACAGCATTTGTTAAGGTGAGCTCTGTAATCTCTGATTACCTATGTACAAAAAATTCTGATTGCACGCACACGTACTCTGAAGTTGACATCAAAGAAATGCTTGAATTTCTGATTGACATTATCTGTGTGGTGTTTGGAGACCAGGTATTCCAACAATCGATTGGATTTCCCATGGATACAAATTGCGCTCTGTTATTAGCAGACCTATTTTTTTTTATATTCATATGAAGCAGAATTTGTGCGAAATCCCATGCGTGAAAAGAAGAAAACACATGCTGTTGCCTTCAACTCGACATATCGACGACGTATTGTCAATTAACAATGGTAATTTCCATTCCTACGTAGATACTATATATCCTGGTGAACATGAGATAAAAAATACCACAGAGTCTGACAAATCTGTTTCATACTTGGATGTTTCACATCAAAAGGAAGTTAATGGTAATCTAACAACATGTTTCACATCAAAAGGAAGTTAATGGTAATCTAACAACCAAGCTATACAATAAACGTGATGACTTTAAATCTTCTATCGTCAACTTCCCTTACTTATGCAGCAATTTACATTCTTCACCTGCATACGGAGTATCTCAGTTGATTCAATATGCAAGAACATGCTCTACGTATGAGGAATTTCTAAAACGAGGTAGATTATTGACAAGCAAGTTTATGAAACAAGAATATCAACAGTTTTGAGGCATCATTTCGTAAGTTCTTTGGTCGATATGATGACCTTTTCAGCAAATACAATTTATTGAGTCAAATGATTCACTGACGTTTTTCATACCAATTTATTAGTCCATTATTCATAAAATGAATTGACGGTTGATTTTCCGTTATTTCATTTCATGATATTGACATGGAGCATACACCGGATGTGACTGTTCAGCAGGGGATGCTCACTCCTCCATGGCCCCAATCTCACCTCTGATGTTTCGGAGAGGTCCGTGTTTGCTCTGCTCCTATTTTGTATTGTTTTATGGACTCTGAGATTGAATACTGTTCGTTATTTCCATATCCCTTTCAAACGGCTTCAAGGAAATGCTTCGATCTCTTCACAGCACATCACTATTAAATTAAAAGAATATAAGTAGTTAAAAATGTGTCAGAATAATTATTAGAAATTATGCCTGGCTGTAGGACCCAGGGAGGGGGAAAGGGTTGGGGGCGCCCCCTCATAATTTTGTCGATATACTCAGTTCAAGGTATTGGTAAAAATCTTATTAAATATTGGACTCAGTGCTATCAAGGAAAGAATTAGAAACTATGTTACTTGGTATAAAAATGATTCCAGACTAGTTGTAAACGAAATACTAATAAATGTAGGATGAAAGATAAACTTTGATGTATTGATATTGGGCCATACAGAAAAAATACTTTAGGGATACCTTTTTCAAGGAACTCGATTTTTTGGGGTGTGTTTTTGAAATTAGTATCTCGCCATGTTTGCTCCATTGATAAGGTACTTATCTTGATTAAAAAAAAAGATAAATAAAAACATGAAAGATTGACAATATCCGTAAGAAATTTTGAACATCCCTCATTTATTTCAATGCAGATAACAGTAACAGCAACAAAAACATATAAAACACACACACACACACACCCTCACACACCCTCACCCTCACACACAAAAACAAATTCAGGTTTTTAATAATACACAAGTTTACATATATAATATAAATAGTTTAAAATAAAATTTTAAACTTTCAAACACGAATAAATAAATAATAAAAAAATTCTTAATAATAATAAAAAAGATTGGAAAAAGTGACACAAGCATCAAGACATCATGCATGGTCCATGTCATTTTTGGTAAATAAAGATTCCAGGGATATTAAAAATAGAAGACACGTGATACCAAAGTATTAACCCAGTGTCAAGTAGAATTGAACAAATGGTTATACTGTATTGATTATTTTTATTAAAATTTGTTAAACAGTGGATGAACATTGAACAACATGTACAATGTGCAAACTAAATTTTCTTATGTAAATATTTATGTACATTGAAATACAATGAAGAACAAATATAAATCTATCATTCACAAATCTAAATACTCAAAAACATGTTTATTAAAATAAGTGTAAATAGCTTGGATGATAAATATAAACTGAGGTTTTCCAGTCTAATCAAATAACATGAATCCACACAAGATATTATTTTATCCCAATTACGTCGTAGTAAATAATGCTAAGTTTTATACACCAATACACGTTAATGTTCATCCTATAATATATAGTATAAATAAAACATTTGAACCCTATCAAAAATTACTTTTCATTGTTTTACAAAAGGTTTATGGTAATATGTACGCTCATAGTAATTAAGTCTTAATACTATATGTATATGGAATTCTGTAAATTTTCTACACAGAGTATCGTCTTACATGTTTCTTCACCTCCTTGATCACTCTTGTGTACTTAATCACTTCATATTTCCTCCCCTCATCCTTACAGTACCAACTCACCAGTTGTCGTATCCTCTCTAGAACAGACACACCCTCTCTGCCTAACTCAAAATCATACTCTCTGTCCAACACGGAATCATACTCACTGTCTGACACTGAATCAGAATTATACTCACTGTCTGACATGGAATCATACTCTGTGTACTTCACTCTGACATTGACATCCGCCCCCGCCTCCAGGAGGAACTTCACCCTATCCACCAATCTGTTGTCAAAATAACACTCATCAATCAGTGTAAACAGCAGGGGTCTCACATCATAATCATACAGCTGTATCCACTGATTGACATCCAGACCCACACGTAACAGATACTCTAAACCCTTACAATCACTTTCTATGATTTCCTTATATAAATCTCCCTCGTCCTCCATACGCCACACTCTTCTCCGTGTCACCACCACATCATCCTTAAAATTAGTCATGACGTCACCGTGTCTAATGTCTACCAAACACTCAAACAAATGTAACCTCAGTCTAGCTAACTGACTTTCATTCTCTGTTCTTATTAATTGCTTTACAGAACCAATTTCATTCCTAATTAATGCAAGATAGAATGTTGATATACCTTGTTTATTTCTGATAGTTGAATCTGCACCATAAATATCAAACATTCGTAGTATAACAGGAATGAAAGTTTAATGTGTGTTTACAAAAGCGTGATAGAGAGGGGTATTTCCTTTCTTATCCTGCATATTAACATCGCTCCCTACATCTAGCAGGATTTTCGCTATATTCAAATATCCACTTGTACATGCTGACGTCAGTGGTGTATCAACCTTTCCATGTAGATTAACATCGGCACTTTTCTGTAGTAACTCTTTTACTACACTCACATGTCCACGACCACATGTTGCAGTCAGTGGTGTATCAAAATCATCTTGTAGATTAACATCAGCACCTTTCTGTAGTAACTCTTTTACTACACTCACATGTGCAAGATCCCATGCTGCAGTCAGTGGTGTATTAAACTCATCTTTTAGATTGACATCAGCTTCTGCCTTTAGCAACTCCTTCACTATACTAAAATTTTCACTCTTAATTGCTGCTGTGAGCGGTGTGAAATGTTCACCATGAGGATTAACATCAGCTCTTGCCTTGAGAAGCGTTTTAACTATATTTATATATCCACTATCACATGCTTGTGCCAGTGGTGTAAAAGATTCATAGCGGGGCGGCTCCATTACTCCATAACCGAGTCGTATACTTTTCATTAATTTATAATATTTACTTTGGTCGGCCATTTTGGCCCAGCCCTACCCCTGGGGATCATGATTTGAACAATCTTGAATCTACACTACCTGAAGATGCTTCCATGTAAATATGATCAATTATGGCTTTGCTATTCTTGAGAAGAAGATTTTTAAAGAATTCTCCTATATGTTTCTATGTATAACTTTGGTCGGCCATTTTGGCCCCGCCCTACCCCTGGGGGTCATGATTTGAACAAACTTGAATTTACACTACCTGAGGATGTTTACCCATAAGTTTCATCTTTCCTGGCACAGTGGTTCTTGAGAAGAAGATTTTTAAAACATACCACCAAATTTTCATTAATTACCAATTATCTCCCCTTGAATAAGGGCGTGGCCCTTTATTTGAACAAACTTGAATCCCCTTCACCCAAGGATACTTTGTGGCAAGTTTGGTTGAAATTGGCCCAGCGGTTCTTGAGAAGAAGTCGAAAATGTGAAAAGTTTACAGACAGACGGACAGACAGACAGACGGACAGACAGACGCCGAGAAAAAATGTGATCAGAAAAGCTCACTTGAACCTTCGGCTCAGGTGAGCTAAAACCATTCCAAAGTAATTCATTCGAACCCTATATGATGAAAAATTATCCTAACGCGTTTAACATTTAGCGTCAAAGAAACATTTATATATATGTAGTAAATATATTTTGTATACTGACGTACACGTTATGTATATTTTTCACACAGAGTATCGCCTCATGTGTTTCTTCGTCACATTAAGCACGTTTTTGTAGTAAAGAAATGCATTTCTATCCGACTTAAACTTACTTAACTCACTCACCAGTCGTTTAATCCTCTCTAGAACAGACACCCCCTCTCTTTCTAACACAGAATTGTACTCTCTGTACCTCACTCTGACATTGACATCCACCCCCGCCTCCAGGAGAAACCTCACCTTATCCAATAACCTGTCTGTAAGCATCAAAGCATAGCTCTCGTCAATCAGAGTAAACAGCAGAGGGCTTCCTTCAGATTCATAATTATCAAAATACAGCTGTATCCAATGATTGACATCTAGACCCACACTCACAAGATGCTTTAAAACCTTACAATCATCTAATAGGAATACATTATATAAATCTCCCCCTCTCCTCATACGCCATACCCGTCTCCGTGTCACCACCACATCATCCTTACTATCAGTCATCACGTCACTGTGTCTTATATCTACCAAACACTCAAACAAATGTAACCTCAGTTTATTTAACTGACTTTCATTCTCTGTTCTTAATAATTGTTTTACGGAACCAATTTCATTTCTAATCAATGAAATATAGATAATTGATATACCTTCTTTATTATTGATAGTTGAATCTGCACCATAGAAGTCAAACATTCGTAGTATAACAGGAATGAAAGTTTTATGTGTGTTTACAAAAGCGTGATAGAGAGGAGTGTTTCCTTCCTCATCCTGAATATTGACATCGCTCCCTGCATCTAACACTTCTTCGCTATATATATATACCCATTTTTATATGCAGCTGTCAGTGGTGTATCGTACTTACCTTGTAGATTGATATCAGCTCCGGCCTTCAGCAACTCTATCACAATACTTGTATGACCCTTATTACAAGCTGCTGTCAGTGGTGTATTAAACTCTCCTTGTAGATTAACACTAGCCCCTGCCTTCAACAGCTCCACCACAATACTCATATGTCCACCATAACAAGCCGCTATGAGTGGTGTATCACATTTATCTTTTAGATTAACATCCGCCCCTGCCTTTAGCAGTTCATCCACTATACTCATATATCCACCTCTACATGCAACTGTCAAAGGTATGAAATATTCGTTCTGGGAATTAACATCAGCCCTTGCCTCAAGCAGTGTTTTTACTACATTCAAAAATCCACCAATACATGCCACTGTCAGTGGTGTATAAAACTCAACAAATGCGTCTTCGAACTCCTTCCCTACCTTCTTATGTATTTCTTGCTGTAACTTACGACATCTACCCTGTGAATTGACATCAGCTCCTTCGAGTAGCAGCTCTTCTACTACCTCTTTATGTCCACCTCCACATGCTGCTGTCAGTGGTGTGTAATACTGACTTTGCAGATTTACAATAGCTCCCGCCTCTAGCAGATTCATTACAATACTCGTATGTCCACTCTCACATGCTGCTGTCAGTGGTGTATCAAGTATATTTCCTTGATTAACAACAGCCCCTGCATTAATCAGCTCTTCAACTGCATTTATATGTCCACATCTACATGCTGCTATTAGTGGTGTATCATATTGACCTTGTGTATTGACAATAGCTCCCGCATTTAGCAGATCCTTTACAATACTCGTATGTCCTGTTTTGCATGCTGCTGTCAGTGGTGTATCATACGTACCTTGTGGATTAACATCAGCCCCTGCATCTAGCAGTTCCTTCTCAAGACTCTTATACCCACCTCTACATGCTGCTGTCAGTGGTGAAAGAAACTTACCTTGTGGATTAACATCAGCTCCTGACATTAATAGCTCCTTTACTACACTGGCATATCCACCATTGATTGCAACTGTTAGCGGTGTAGCTATTTTACCCTTTGGATTGTTAAAAACCCGTGCCTCTATAAATGCCTTATCTGAATTTTTATGCCCAGTGTCAGCTGTCAGTTGTGTATGATATTTACCTTGTAAATTAACATCAGCCCCTGCCTCTAGCAGCACTCTTACTACATTTAGATGTCCACCCTCACATGCACCCATTAGTGGTGTAAGATACTCAGCTTGTAGATTAAAATCTGCCCCTGCTTTGAGCAGCTCCTTCACTATACTTATATATCCACCCTTACATGCTGCTATCAGTGGTGTATCATTTACACCTTGAAGGTTGGCATCAGCCCCTGCCCTGAGCAACTCCTTCACTATATTTATAAATCCATATTTACATGCTACTATCAGTGGTGTAACATCAGCACTTTGGTGGTTTACATCAGCCCCTGCCCCCAGCAACACCTTCACTAAAGTTATACATCCCTTTTTACATGCTGCTGTCAGTGGTGTATCAAAATTACCTTGTGCTGAATGAAAAACATCTTTTGGATTGACTTCAGCCCCTGCACCTATCAACTCCTCCACTAAAGTTATACATTCCTTTTTACATGCTGCTGTTAGTGGCGTATAATAACCGTCCGGTAGGTTGACATCAGCCCCTGCCACCAGCAACTCCTTCACTATACTTATATATCCACCATTACATGCTGCCGTCAATGGTGTATAAAAGGCACCTTGTTGATTGACATCAGCTCCGGCTTCTATAAGCTCCTTCACTACACTCTTATGTCCACCATTACATGCTGCTGTCAGTGGTGTATAACACATATGTTGTGGAGTAACTTCAGCCCCTTCCTTTATCAGCTCCTGCACTACATTCAGATGTCCACCCTCACACGCTCCTGTAAGTACTCTGTCACCTAACATGTATTTGAACTCTATATCTGGAAAGGTCTTATAAATTGTGTTTATTTTCATATATTCAATAAATATTCTCACGGTTTTTAAATCTCCATTATAACAACTCAGAAAAAGTAAGCGCTGATGTTCAGATATGGATCCATCAATGTCCAGGTTTCTGAATGACCATGTATTTTCTATTTGATAATTCAATGCATTATTCTTATTCCCTTCTTTTGGTGGATTAATAAAATCCGAATTAAAAGAATTCAAAAAGAGTCCAGACTGCGTCTTTTCGAGCAGCTTTGTTTTATCAAAAATATATCGTAGGATCGAACTGTGTCCGTAATAAACCACCCAACTAATAACCCTGACGCTGTATTTTCTTGTAACAATATTCTCATTCACCAGCACTTCTTGTCTGTACCATTCCCTGTTCCTCTCCTCCCTCACACGCTCTCCTTTACTCACAACCTTAGACACGTCTTTCTGTACAGACAGAAATAAAGACTCTAACTCTGTGTAAGACTTGGTCTTTAACACCTTAATGAAAGCCTTACAAACCTTAGGATGTTTCAGAACCTTATTCATAAAAACATCATACAGCTCCATATTTTCTATATCCCTGTACAAACGCTCTGCTAACATTGGGTACTGATCCTCTCTTAACCATATGAAGAGTTCTAATGAGTCCTGGATTGTTTCACTACTTAATGTTTCCTGCTCCTCAGCACTAAATTCTTCATTGTCATCTTGCTTATATTCAACCTCCAACTTTTCTTTACATTCTTGTACTTTCACGTTATTAGCAATGTAACTACTGCTAATATATTGCAACAAAAGATCTGGAAACTGACATCCATAATGATACGCAAGGATTTCAAAGACAGAGTCATGAATAATGGTGTACTCAGTACCACAGAGTTTTGTGTATGTACCCTCCATAGCTGCCAATGCTTTTCCAAATTTAAATGTATCAGTGTTACTTTCAACTTCACAACTTTCCAATACTTTTGATTTCATTTCCTGGAAAACATCGTTTTCTGTGTTTTTCAATGTTAATATTTCTTTTGATGGTTTTTTTCATTCAACATGCACAAGACCAATGTAGCATAGCACAAACAATTTCGTCCTTTCATTTCATTGAATTGTTCTAAAATACATTCTGCTGGACAGGTAAAGAACCTTTCAACATTGCTCTTAAATTTCTCCTCTTTTGAGTATAGTTTACATAATAGAGGAAACATATCTAATGTTTTTCCAAGTAATGTTGGGGACAACAAATCTTTATCCAAGCCATGTTTCTGAAGAATCGCTTTTTTGTCTTTATCATTCAATGCATTTTCGGGACTATGCATCTTAATTGTGTTTGCCTCATTTACGAAAAATGATTTGTAACATTCATTAAACACGGCTTCCCTACATGACATTAATACCTTTGTATTTCTATTGGACGGATCTGAAATTCTTTTTTCATAATCTATCAATGGCTCTAACTTTTGTTTTTGCAGACCTAAAACACCTACCACATCATCAATGACAAAAACCTGTGGATGACGAGAGTCAGAATAATCTTCAATCTTCCTGATGTCTATAATGGGTACGACCTCGTACTCTTCCTTCTGGAGTATCAGGGCTATGTGATGAATCGTTGCCGATTTTCCAGATCCTGGGACACCAACAAATGTCATGTAAGATTGACTTCTGACTTGATCCAACATTGCAGGGAAACCGTGGCTTTCACTGTAAACCACATCCTCCTCTTTCCATCGTATGACATCTTTTTCAAAAACATCTATAAAAAATTGTTACGGCAAGATATTTTATAATTTTTTTTACCTTGTCAGTTATATAATTACTCGCATTTCATAGTAATTAAACGTTTTACAAGTGTTGCAATTTAAGGATTTCTGTAGAAATTTAAAAGTTTCTAGATTTGAAAATCAATTATGATTTAACCATAGATTACATTGTCACCTAAATTTTCAAAACTTTCTAATTTAATTGATAAAGCCGATTCACATGTTGAAAATATCCATATTTTCATTTACCCGTGCTTTCACCTAAATTGTATCTTTAAAGAAATTTTCGATCTGAATAATGTTATATATATATTTATAAATGTTAACGTATTGTGAATCCATTGCTGTATAATTCATAACATGAATAAAATAATCGGATTCCTGAAAGTTGAACTTTAAAATCTGAAATACACTCCTTGTTCAGTTTATAAATGCTTGATATTGAAACGTATAATAAGAACAAGATTGTAAAAAGGTAAATTAGGATCACTGCATTTTTATAACAAAATTAATTTATCCCACCTCTGATCTGATCCCACCTCTAATTTGATCTGATGTTTGCTCTCCTCTTATTTTGTATTGTTTTATGGACTTTGATATTGAATACTTTTTTCGTGAATTTTCATAATTGATTAAAATTTCATATTTTTGGGAACATTTTTTTTTAATATTTAATCTTTTCAAACCAGCGACAAATAATGTTTGTTTGTTGTCTAATGTCTCTCTCGAGGATTCTTCACTCATTTGGAGACACTACCATTTGTCGGTGGAGGGTTGCAAATTTAAACCTATACTTGGCTCTAAGGTCCCTTGAGCAGGGAGGGATCTGTTTCATGCCAATACGTACTGCGACATGGGACCTCTGTTTATACGGTCTTATTGAAAGGACAGCCCCTATGTCTTGTAGTGGATTTGAAACCAAGATATAAGGGTCAGCTTCCTATGCTGCGACTCAGGAGAAGACGCTCTAAGAACTGTGCCATGCGGGCGACTGAGACAAATAACGTTAATTATCAAGAAAAAAAATCTTTTACAAATTTACATATGCAAGAGCAAAAAATAATTCTTTTACAAATTTACATATAAAAGAGCACTGGCCACGGTAGCCTTGTGGCAGAGCCTTCGCCCGGGTTCATACCTAAAACGTAGACAAAGGTAGTGACTGTTCCTTTGCCAAGTGCTCAGCATTAAAAGTGAAAGTTATGGGTCTTTCGATATGAGCTAAAGAACTCTCCCTGGGTGCCCAATAGGTTTAGTCTGCATCATCCATACACATGCATTTACCTCCACAAACTGTTTGTGGAGGTAAAAACAAACGTCTGGATGATGCAGACTAAACAAGCATTCTGAGAGTATTGCATAAGCAATACATGTCCCCTACCGGGTTCCCCTTTTTCTTCAGGATGTCATTTTATAATATACAAAAGTCATGTCCAAGGTAAAACTGAAAGATTTTCAAGTTGTAAATGCCTTAAATCTAATAAAAAAATAAACATTAAGACGACAATTCAACTCATTTATCCATCGTCTTTTCCTCGCTTCATATTTTTGTCGACAATCGGAAGTTAGCGCAGTTCGAACCCAATCTAAATTAAACGATTATGAAAAATATTCAAAATGCCATAATTCTGTCAGAAATCAATGAAGCGAAACGAAATTCAAACTTGATCTGTAACTCATTAAGATTCACTCACTTACCAAAATTCAGCTCAATATCTGCAAGCGTTTAGAAAAAAAGTTTGGAAAACCAAGTGGGAATGTAAAATATTCAAAATGCCATGATTCTGTCAAAAATCAATGAAGCGAAACGAAATTCAAACTTGATCTGTAACTCATTAAGATTCACTCACGTACCAAAATTCAGCTTAATATCTGCAAGCGTTTAGAAAAAAAGTGCGGAAAACCAAGTGGGACAGACTGACGGGGACAGACAGACGGACGGACGGACGGACGCAGAGGAAACCTATAGTCCCCTTCGGTTTCACCGGTAGGGGACTAATAAAGATCTAAATTTGAAGCCCTTTACCTGGGTACGGTAATGTCTCTATATGATTGAAAAATTCTTAAGATGGACGTTAAACAATATACAATCAATCAATCAATATACGATAGCAAAAAAGGTAGATTTTATAATTTCTTATCTCTTGGAATGTTTTGATTCAAAGAGAAAGGGAGATAATCGAATACTTTCGTTTGTGGTAAATTTAAAAACAGAGAGTGACAGTCGTTTCTAATAACTGATTCAAGACAATTGAAGATGTCCACCAATTTTGGAGCTTCTGTTTAGTAAGTGGATTTATTAAAATCAATTACTAATGCCGAAAACACATTAAAAGATACCCAAAATGATTATTTATCATTTGCTGCAGTTGGTGTGACGTCACACAGATTGTCAATGGCCGCTGGTTGTAATAAGGATATGGAAATAACGAACAGTATTCAATCTCAACGTCCATTAAACAAATATACAAAACAAGAGCAGAGCAAACACGGACCTCCGAAACATCAGAGGTGGGATCAGGTGCCATGGAGGAGTGAGCATCCCCTGCTGACCGGTCACACCCGCCGTGTGCTCATTGTCATAATCAGGAAATAACGGAAAAAATCCGTAAACGAGATGTGAAAAAGTATGATTATAAAGATAATTTATGGTAGTTGAATGGTAAAAAATGTTAGGAATTACTTACTGGACACTCGGAAGTTGTATATATATATATATATATATATATATATATATATATATATATATATATATATATATATATATATATATATATATATATATATAGATAGATAGATAGATGGATCGATAGATCCCGGGCATATATTGTTTTTGTCCTGTCTGTTTGTCTGTTTGTCTGTTTATCTGTTTGTCTGTTTGTCTGTTGTCAACTTTAACCTTGGCCATAACTTTTGAACAATAAGAGATAGAGACTTCATATTTGGTATGCATACTCACCTCATTAAGTCCATTCAAATGACATCAAGGTCAATGACCTTGTGACCTTGACTATGACCTATATGCTAAAAATAGATTTTTTGAACTTTCTTTCCGCCGGGCGCATAGTGTTTCACAAACACATCTTGTTTACCTCACTGTCTTAGACTAGATCAGTTTTGAATAAACAGTTCAAGATATATTAATCAAACTTCATATGCTAATACATACTGATGAGAGCTATTATTGCATTAACTTATTTTGACCTTGAATTTTCTTTTGACGTTGACCTGACTTTTTAAAATTTATCTAAGTTTCAAATAAACCATTAATTATATTTTTATCAAAATTCATATGATAATAGTAAATTCACACTGATGTAAGCTTTTCAGCTAGAACAACATTTTGACCACAACCTTTCCTTTGACCTCTCTTTTCTTAAAACAAAGTGTTAAGCTCAGTTTCATTAAATCATTCAAGATATTTTTTATCAAACATAATAAGCTAATATGTATTAGTGAGAGCTATTCAGCTGCATCAAAAACTTCATCTTGCACATTCCTGTGACCTTGACCTCCCTCCTCTTTAATATGTATTTTGCTTAGTTTTTAAGAAATAATTTAAGACATTTTTATGTTAACATGCACTTATACATAATTTGATGAGAATTTATTATCTATATCCAATTTATTTATATTTTAGATTCATTTCTAAAAAAAAAACTGTTTAAGATATTTTCATTAAACTTTATACACAAATATAAATTTTAGTTTTTAGTTTTTAGCTCACCTGAGCCAAAGGCTCAAGTGAGCTTTTCTGATTATATTTTGTCTGGCGTCTTTCTGTCTGTCTAGCTGTCTGTAAACTTTTCACATTTTTGACTTCTTCTCAAGAACCACTGAGCCATTTCAACCAAACTTGCCACAAAGCATCCTTGGGTGAAGGGGATTCAAGTTTTTTTTTTTCAAATGAAGGACCCTGCCCTCATTCAAGGGGAGATAATTGGGAATTAATGAACATTTGGTGGCATGTTTTAAAAATCTTCTTCTCAAAAACCACTGTGCCAGGAAAGATGAAACTTATGGAGTAACATCCTCATATAGTGTAGATTCAAGTTTGTTCAATTCATGACCCCTGGGGGTAGGGCAGGGCCAAAAGGGCTGACCAAAGTTTTACATAGAAATATATAGGAAAAAACTTAAAAAAAAACTTCTTCTCAAGAATGACAAAGCCATAATTCATCAAATTTATATGGAAGCATCCTCAGGTAGTGAAGATTCAAGTTTGTTCAAATCATGACCCTGGGGGTAGGGCGGGGCCAAAAAGGCCGACCAAAGTTTTACATAGAAATTTATTGGAAAATTCTTTTAAAATCTTCTCAAGAATGAAAAATCCATAAATCATCATATTTATATGGAAGCACTACAGGTAGTGTAGATTCAAATTTGTACAAATCATTTTAGGAATAAAAGGAAACACATCTTTAAAGTTCTTCTTTTCAGGAACACCAAGAGCATGATTAATATGGAAATATTCTCAAGAGGTGTAGATTCAAGTTTGTACAAATCATGACCACCAGGGTTAGGGAGGTGCCATATTTTTCCAGCCCCTTTTTGCCATCTATATGAAAATTCAAATTTTGAAACCATTTTACACATACACAAAACAAACCATTCATTTTCTAAATGATCATGGTTTAAAACTATAGCAGCATAAGATATTAGGGAAGTTCTTGAAAGCAGGGTGATAAAAAATGTCAAATATATGTAAAAAAAAATATATAAAAATTCAACCTCGATTTGATCCCCATCCCCCAACCCCCCGGGCAAAAATGAAAATTCCGAAACCTTACTGCACATCTACATGACGCCATCAACCATCTCTCAAAAGATGATTAGGCTGCTGAGTAAAATGTAGAAGGAGTTCAGGGAAGAAGAGGCTTTTTGTATAAAAAATGTAATTTTTCGACCCCCATTTGATCCCCCGAGGAAAAATTAAAATTCCGAAACCTAACTGCACATCTACATCACACCACCTACCATCTCTCAAAAGAGG